AGTGTGAGGGTTAGAACACCCTGAGTGTCAGGTGGGCTTGCTTCTGCCCCATATTCTTATGGCCTCAGGGGGTAGGGACCACCTGGCTGGATCAGGCACTGCCACTGGGCTCCCAGGGGTAGTTCAGTACTCCTCATGGTTATGTTGAGGCTGAGGCCATTCTCAGCCCTCAGACTCTGAGAGACCCTGTTTTCACAGATGTATCCCAACATCCTCCCTAAAGAGCCCTTGGCAGGAAGAGCTCTGATGGGAGAGGACAGCTGAGCATATGGCCTCACATCCATTACCATGTTGGCTACTCACATCCAATAGCAGACAGGACTGATGTGACTCTCACCTTACAGGTGAGGACACTGAGGCCCAGCAAGGTAAAGCGACATGTCCAAGGTTACTGAGCTGAGGCTCAAGGTCTCCGAACTCTCAGAAAAGGGTTCTTTTAATTAGTCTCAAATTAATTGCCCATCCTAAAACTCTTTCAAGGAAAAAGGCAGGTGCATAAATTCACAAACCAACTAACAAATAAAGGCAATGCTGATTATCACTGACTGCAGGACATTTGGGGGAGGGTCTCAGCCAAGTCTGCTTTCTAACTGCTCTGACCTCCCACCCTGACCAGAGCTGGCTAACTGCAGGAAGTTGCATTCATTCAGAAGCTGGGGTGAGGGCAATGGTTTGGTTTCCCCCTCGGAACCTGATGTGTGCGGGAATGAGCCACGCTGGATGAGAGCAACTGACTATTCTGTAATCACCTCAAGCAGCTACTGCTCAACACCTGACAGCGCCCCAAAAGAACCTTTCCAGGTAAAATGAGGCTTGGCAGGAGGAGATGGATGGGAATTCACAGGGTCTCACCAGGGTCGCTTCGCTCACAATCTGTCTTATTTAGCCCTGAGCCCCAGGCAGGTGGGACTCCACATCAAGATGATTCCTACAAGTGCCAAGTCCCCCAAAGTTCAAGAGCAGGAAGTCATTTGCATCCCAGATGGAAGGAAGAGACGCAGAGGCCTGGCCTCCAGATTCCTGGAGCCATGGCCTGGGGGCAGTGGGCCCACAGACACTAGCCTCTCTAGGACCACCCCCAACCTTCACCCACCCAGGGCCTGGATTTCCTCTTCTTTTGAGGAGCAGTGACTAGGCAGGCAGCTGCGGGTGAAGAGAGGGGAACAGGGAGGCCCATAGACAATGTATACAATCAGACTGTAACAACCTCAGTGATGACCCCTTCCCCTGGCCAACACACACACACACCCACTTGCTCCTACTTTCTCTCATTTCCTCCAGAAGGGTGTGTTTCCTGACTTGGTCCGTGGAGTCTGCATAGTAGACCATCTTAGAAATCAGTCAGTTCATCTCCCCCTGCACACTCGCCATTTACAGATGAGGGAACTAGGACCCTGAGAGCGGAAGCCACTTGCCCAACGTCAGAACTACCCTGGTAGCCAAGCTAGGACTGGGGTCTGGATGGCCCCCGAGAAGTCTTGTGTGGTCACTTCGTTTTGGCTTCAGTCACCTGATCACTTGACTAGGTGACACTTTTAATCCCAAACAACCATTCGCTCCTACCCAAAGCCCAAACCTCGGGCACTCCATTTTTCTATGGAAGTTATGGACCAAGCTCACACCAATAAAGGTATATTAGAGAGGAAACTTGCAGGAGGGACAGATCTTTTTCTCTTTTGAAGATGCCACTGGAGTCACCTTCACCCAGTTTTATCTGCATTGGGGAGGGGGAAGAAGAAGCTGAACAGAGTTTTGTTGTATAGACCAGGGGCAACCTGCCCACAAAAGACACTGTCACCAGGCACACCTGTACTCTTACATCATGACAAGGGCTTCCTTCCAGTGGATCGCCACCTTGGCAGCACACTGGCCACAACCAGACCACACTCAGACCAAATATATCAGCATCTCCAGGAGAGAGCAGGGGCATCAGTGTTTGTAGAGCTCCCCAGGTGATTCCAATGGGCAGCCCAAGTTGAGCACCATCCTCTTCCTACTCATAGTGAGGCCACTGACCAGTAGCGTTGGCATCACCTGGGATCTTGTTAGAAGCACAGAACCGGGACTTCCCCAGTGGTCCAGTGGGTAAGACTCCGTGCTCCCAATGCAGAGGGCGCAGGTTCAATCCCTGGTTGGGGAACTAGATCCTGCATGCATGCCGCAACTAAGAGTTCGCGTGCCACAGAGTTCGCATTCCGCAACTAAGAAGTCCGCATGCTGCAACGAAGAGCCCACGTGCTGCAACTAAGACCCGGCACAGCCAAAATAAATAAATAAACAAATAAATAAAAAATAAATATTTGAAGGAAAAAAAGAAGAAATGCAGAACCGTAGGCACCTCCTCAGATCTACCGGATCAGAACCTGCACTTTACCAAGGTCTGCTGGCGGTTTCTGAGTTCACTAAAGTCTGAGAAGCACTGAGGCAAGGTACTCCATACAGTATGGCCCATCTCTACACCTGACAGCAACCTTGCAAGGCAGGTGTTCCATTCCACAGGTGAGGAAACTGATCCTGAGAAAGGTTAACTCACTGGCCCAAGGTCACACAGTTGGTGAGTAGGACAGCCAGGATGTGACCCTGGGCTGGTTGCAAAGGCCACTCGTACTACACAAACCACTTCTTATAGCACCATAAAAAATCTGGCCACGGGAGTCCCCTGAATGTTTGGGTCCTCAGACCCACTGGGCATGCCCTGCCATTGAACAGGATTCCACTTCCAATGTCAAGTTCCCCGGAATCAAACCTCCTAAAGATCAGCATAATGCATGAGGAAATACAAATAGTAAACAAACACTCAGGGGGAAAGGTTTACTCTCCCTAGTAATCAGAGAAATGCAAATTAGAGCAATACTGAGGAGCCATTTTCTACCTATATAATTAGCAAAAATTAAAAAAAGAAAAGAATGTTAGCAGAGTTGTTTTGAAATAGGTACATTCATACATGGCTGGTGGAGGTGTAGATTTACATAACCCTTGAGGAAAGTAATATGGCCACATCCATCAAGAGCCATAAATACATTATGCCCACTGACCCTGGGAAGTCACCCTAAGGAAATAATTCGATAGGAGGGGAAATGTCGTTTGTAGGAAGATGCTCATTGCAACATTTGTTGTGAACATTGGAAACAAATCAGTATTCAGCAGTAAGGGAATGGCTGAGTCAGCAGGGGGGCCATCAGCTCCTGCAGTGTCATGCAGCCATTTAAAATGATAATTAAGAAGCCCAAGCAGCAAATAGGGGAAAAAAGAAAGCAAAATACAAAACTCTGTGCTTATTATGTGCTCTGTGGTTATTATGATGGAAAAATATTGTGTGCATAGGATATGGACGCAATATCCAAACCAGTTGTCTTCTTTGTCCAAACACCAAAGAAGACAACTGGTGTTTCAGGGTGAGGGGACAACGGAAAGACACCTTCCTTCCATTACTTTTACAGTTACAAACCCCAGTAGAATTGGCCTTTAAGAACAGCCTTGGCAGCTCTCTGGTCATGGACTCTATCTCTGAGTGGCACATGGAGACACCCTCATTCTGCATCCATGGGCACAGGGCCACACTCCCTGATTCCACCTGGAAGTGGGAGGAGCTGGCCCCTCCTTTCCTGTGTAGGGGTGGGGGTGGGTGGAGAGGCCATGGGAGTCCCCTCCCATCTTACCATGAAGCCTGGGGCACAGGTGCAGCTCCCAGTGACGCTGTGGCAGTTGGCACCATTCTGACAGGTGCAAGGCAGCTGGCAGCCATCGCCATAGTAGCCAGCAGGGCAGGATTCATTGCAGTGGTGGCCAGACCACCCCGGCTGGCAGGTGCAAGCTCCAGTTACTGGGTGGCAGCTGAGCAGATGAGAGAAGAATGAGAGGACAGTCTGGTCAGGAATGCGGCCATATTCCACCCTCTGCCCACCCCAAGTCTGGTCTGCCCAGGGCCGCAGGATCAAAGGGCCTCTGAAGTTAAATTTCTTTCTCTTTTTTTTTGGCAAGTATTTTCCCCCAGTTGTGAGCTGTTTGTTTATTTATTTATTTATTTTTGGCTTAGTTGGGTCTTAGTTGTGGCACGCGGGATCTTCTGTTATGGCCCATGGGATCTTTCGTTGCGGCACGGCCTTCTCTCTAGTTGTGGTGCGTGGGCTCCAGAGCGTGTGGGCTCTGTAGTTGTGGCACGTGGGCTCTCTAGTTGTGGCACGTGGGCTCTCTAGTTGTGGCATGCGGGCTCAGTTGCCCCGCAGCATGTGGGATCTTAGTTCCCCAACCAGGGATCAAGCCCCCATCCCCTGCACTGGAAGGCAGATTCTTAACAACTGGACTACCAGGGAAGTTCTGAGGTTAAATTTCTTAATGTATTATTTGTTTGCCAGACGATGCCAAGGTTACATGGTCTTATTACACGTTTCTTATTAGCCCCAAGAAACTGAGGCTCATAGTTGTTATATAATTCGCCTAAAGTTACACAGCAAGGAAGTAGCAAAATCAGGATTAGACACAGGTCTCCTGACTCCCAAACAAGTGCTCTTTATAATACAAATACACAGAGACCAAAGCAGGAGGCAGCCTCTTCCCTTATGGACTGGGAGGTCCAGCACTTTACCCACTCTGCACCCAAGGCAGATGCTCAGTGTGTGGGCAGGCACAAGAGGGCTGCAGTGAGACCCAGTTACTCTGCATATTGTAGGTACTCAATGAACATTTCCTGAGTTAAAATGGAACCTTGGGGCAGATGCGTCCCCCCCTCTATGGCAATGTCTGTATTGGAGAGAATACCCTCCATCCATGCATTGCTAGGGCTCTTTAAGAGCAAGCAAGATCGTCTCCATCCCCTCTCTGGCTAGCCCAGTGAAAGAACCATTTGGCTGGAGGCAGGGGCTGCCTGGCATGACCTCTAGAGAGTCAGGCAAACTCTGGCTGGCAGAGGTCTGATCCAACAGCCAATATGCATCCATGATCCCGGGTGTGGTGACCATTTTCTTCTCAGAGCTTCTGTGGGGAGTGTAATTGACTGATGGCCCTAGCTACTGTGTCTGAAATCCATCACTACATTTTCTCAGAGGTCACACTTCCCCTGGGCTGCTCTCAGCTAGACCACAGCAGGGATATTAAGGTCGACACATTCTTGGCAAATCTGGGACTCCTCTGATGGACAAGTTTGGCTTAAAGAGCCCCCATCTCGCCAAACTTTCTTAGAACTGTGCTTCAGTCTAAAACTTTCCAATCAACCTTCCTTCCTTCTCTCTTTCCTTCACACAGGTCAGACCTGCATTGCAGTCTCATGATCCCCTAGCCTCCTCAGCCCCTTCCCCATTTTCCCTCATAGCTGTGTCCCTAGTAAATCTCTTGCTCTCGGCATCTGGGAGGACTCAGACTAACACTCCAGAGAAGACGCTGGATGTCAGAGACAAGCTTCTTGGATTCCCTGTGTCATCTGCTTCCTTGCCCTGGAGTCCAGCTCAAGGGATATGGTCCAATGGCACATGCTCTGGGCTGGCAAGAGAAGCCTACGTACAAATCTTGGTTCTGCTAAGTTCCACGAGGATATGGGCTTTGTCTCCCTGGGTCATTGGTGGATCCCCAGTGCCTGGCTCATATTCACTGCCCAATTAAATATTTGGGAATGAACAGTACTTTTACTACAAGTAATTATTTTCTGTCTGTTGACTTGTTTATCACCTGTCTCCCCACCAGGTGGCAGCTCCATGGGGGAGGGCCCTTTGTCTGTCTATTTCACTTCTGTATTGTACCCCAATGGCCAGCAGGGTCCCTGGCACCATGAAGATACTAATACATATTTGCCAAATGAATTAATGGACAAACTAATTGTGTGAAGCCCAGCCAATTTCTGGGAGCCCTGATTTTCTCATGGAAAATGAGGGATGGACAGGAGCAGACAGTTCCTGAATAGTAAGTGCAAGTAGCTAATAGTCATTTTGGAAAATGTTTAGTCTCATTAATCATCAAGTCAAAACAACAATTGCATATCACTTTTTCTCTATCAAAATGGCAAAGTTTTTTTGTTTTTTTTTTTTTTAAAGGGATAATGCTCGATGCTGGTAAAGGTTTCTAGAAAACAATGTGGGGTTATATATCAGGAGTCCTAAAAATATTCAGACCCTTTGGTCTTGTAATTCCATTTCTAAGAATCTATCCTAAGGAAACAGTCACAGTTGTAGAGAAAGATTTATGCATGGAAATGCTCCCCAAAGCATTATTTATAACAGTGGAAAAATGGGGGCAATTTATATAATAATAAATAATATGTGACCAGGCTATTAAAGCACCAGGCACTTTACACCTATATTTCTAATCTTCAAGTAAGCCTGTGAGTTAGGCATTAGAGCCTCTATTTTTCAGACGGCACTTGGAGGTTATATGACTTGCCCAAGGTCACACCACTAACTCAGTGGCAGCTTGGATTCTGACCCAGGTCTGTCTGGCCATGTTCTGGTCACTGCCTCATGCTGCCTCTGACACCAGAGTACTGGTTAAATGAATTATGATAATTCATATGAAGGCATGTTAGAGAAGTATTCAAATGTTTTCCAGTCTATTTAATGATTTGACATAAGGGTAAGTGAAATAAGCAAACTGTATATAAAGTCATGATCTAAAATATGAAAAAAAAGTGAATCAGAAATGGATGAAGAATGAACAAATTACAACAAAATGGTTTTTGTACTCACCCCTGGACTGAGAAATTATGAGTGACTCTGAGTTTTTTCTTTAAATTTCTATGTATTCTCTGACTTTCTCAAACTGAGCATCTATTATATTCATAAACAGATAAAAAGTGATAAAAATTATAATATGTAAAAAAGAATGTGTGTAAAGAATGGATGTTTGAAGACTTCCTGACTTTCATGGTTCCAGATAAATTCCTCCCTGGGTCCCACAATGTAAGGGGAAACAGTGGCCGGCACGGGTGTCATGGGGCAGGGGGCCCCTACTTGGTGGCCCTGACCCTCAGCCAGACAGTTGTGGGGTGCTCCCCTCTGTCCCCAACACTCCCAGCAAAGCCCTAAGGCATGGCCTTTCTCGGTTCCAACTTTTCAGGGGTCTCCTCTGAGGTTTGGGTTTAGGGTCAGAGGGACTGGCTCGGTCACAATCATGGAGACTGACATGCTTGGGCCCAGGAAGTAACACGGCAGCGCTGGCAGCCGCGATCAGCTCTGTCCGGCCCCTGAGATTCTGAAGAGTCTCAGGCGTCCTTCTGCCCTTCTTTCAAGAGATTCTCTCGTTACAGGTCCTTGCTCTGGTGTGAAGACCACCCTGTGAATAGCATACTAGACGCACAGTGAGCAGGCGAACGCTGGCCTCTAAGCTCTCCTGTGTTTCTGCTTTCCATCTTAACCGCCGGTGTTTTGGATGCTTAGGGGTGTGTCTCAACACCAATTTTACCTTTTTACTCTGAGAAACCAGAAAGCTCAAAACCAAACCTGAGATAATTTCTTTCTCTCTCCTTTCATATCCCTAAAATTCTATTTTAAAAAACAAAACACCTCTGTTTTCTTAATTTGATTACTTGTCACTTATTATAGAAACTCCAAAATCCCTTTGAAAAGGGTGGGGAATGATCGCTGGCTCAGTGATTAGGACTGAAAACTGCCGTCACCATGCTCTCGGCACCTCTGTCACACCTCCCTCTCCCTGGTGTACCCTGCTCCCTGCCCCGTTGGTGGCAGAGCCATTCCCTTGGGTCACATGGCAGGCAAGTGACTCCTGCTTAGGCTGGGTTGGCTTCTCTGCCTTTTTTTTTTTTTTTTTTTAAAGGAAAGTCCAGGGCCTACAGTAAACAGGATGAGATAACTAGAAGTCATTGAAACATTTAAAATATCATCTAAATATTTTTGAAAATCTCTAATGCCATAAGATTTTCCCCAACTGTTTTTCCTATACCTCCAGTAAAGGCTCCTATTATTTCTTTGCTGTTTTTTTTTTTTTTTTTTTCCCCTCACCTTTCTCCATTTCCCCCAGACATAGATTAATCACAAGTTAATAGGAGCCGAAAGCTGAACAATACAGGAAACTTTTCAGGGTGGAATTTTCTGCCAGTTTTTCCTGGCCGCTCTGAGATTTCTATCAATGCTGCATCTGGTGGCTAAGTCAAATCTTTCAAAGGTAATCCACAATCATGGCTGCTGGAATTCGTCTATGACGATCCAATTGTGGAGGGGACATGGACAAGGTCTGACACACAGGTGTTCACTTTCTCAAGGTTATTCCTTTATGAAGGAAGGAGGCTGCTTTGTGTGTGCTGCAAAGCATTTATAAAGGGAGTGAAGTGTGGGGAATTTCAACAGCCATTTCTTCCTTCCCAGGGCACGTGGGTTCAACCTCTCTTTGAAGCAGCCTCTCCAGAGGGGCACAGAGCCGGGAGAGGCTGGGGCTAGCTGAGGAGGGTTTTCTGTGGTTGGGAGTTGGGAAGACTCTGCTTCTCTAGGAAAGATGCTCAAGGTCTTCCTGGCAAGCTGTCTTGGAGGGGCTCTGCTGCAAGCTCTTGCGGAAGCCAGCGGGGAGATGAGGCAAGGTTTCTGGGGATCCCACACTCTGTCTCTCAGGGAGCTTGGTGGAAGCTTCACTTTCAAAGATCACAAGAAAACTTTTGCCTCCCACTGGGCTGACAAAAGGCGATAGACAGACTGGGAAACTAAGACAGACGAGAAGTACACGTATCAGGACACTGACTCAGGCAGAGGCAGTTCTAAGGCCAGGACTGAGGGGTCCCAGACCTACCCAGAACCTGCAGCTCAACTGCCTTGGGATTAGGAGTCCTAGAGTCATCCCTCTGCTTTTCTTGGATCCCGAGAGAAGGCTCTAGAATGGGACACAGGCTCACAGGAAGAGAGGAGTGACCTGTGTCCACAGAGAGGAAGAGGGCTGTTCTCTGTGTCCCTGAGAACAAAGCCAAGCGCAGCATGAGAGAGGTGCAGTGAGACCACAGGCTCTCAACCTTGGGCAATTCTGCCTCCCCCCACCCTACCCAGGAAACGTTTTTGGTTGTTAGAACTTGGGGCTGGGGTATTGCTACTGGCATCTAGTGGGCAGAGGCCAGGGATACTGCTAAACATCCTGCAATGCACAGGATGGCTGTCCACAACAAAGAATTATCCAGCCTAAAATATCAACAGTGGCGAAGCTGAGAAATCCTGAGTTAGACTAAATAAAAATTTGGTGAGTGTCGGGCGCTCAGTCACTGGGGCCGTGTGTCAAGGGAAAGGGGTGAAATATTTTTAAAAAATAGGGTGACATCAGCTCGGGAGCAGAGCCGCCCTAGAGGAATGGGCGATTTAAGATGAATTCAGCAATTCTTTTTCCTGAAGGTCTGCTCTGTGCCAGGCTCCGTGCAAGGCTGAGGCTGCAGAGACCCACAAGCTCGGGCTGTGACACAGCTCCCTGCAAGGAGATAGTCAAGCAGACACGGGGGAACCTGGCCTGCGGGGTTGGCTTCCAGGCACTCTCGGGGTCCCCACGCTTAAGAAGCACTACTGCCTCCCAACCCCTGAAATGTGACACGTGTTAAAGACAGTAAAGCAAATAATCATCAATATTGAATGGGCCGAGATTAGCGACCGAGAAGAGGGAGTCCTTCCCCATTAATAATGCATCGAGGACTCCTTCAGAGGAGGGATAAATTATGCAGGGCACGGCTGCTTGGGTATGGGGAGAAAACAATAGCTCTTTAATTTGGGGGTTGGTTGGATCTCCGTGGCAGGGACTCTCCCTGCACTGGACCCCAGTGGCAGCCTAGCTTCCTTTCCCTGACACGGTCCTCCCTTGGCTTCCCCGCAGGGGTAGGGGTTCCTGGTGCTGCCCCTCACCCGTGGAACAGCCTGAGGCAGCTGCCCAGTCCCCCGACCAGCCATGTGGGACCCCCGTGTTTAGAGTCTTGGAGCTCACACCCCACCCTCCAGACCCAGCCCAGAAGCCACCTCCTCCAGGAAGCCTTCCCTGACCAGTGAAGCGGTTTCCTGTGGTGCTTTCTGTACAGAGCCCTGGGTCACAGTTACTTGAGTACATGTTGGGACCCAGCAGGGCCAGCCGCATATATTTCATTGATTCTAAGATGCACTTTGCCCCACATTTTCAGATCTCTGATGGATGTGCTATGCAGTCAATGGTATGTCATGGCTCAGTTTTAGTAGTACATAAAATAAAGCAGTGCCTCACTACTGGTATTGTCTTGTATTTGAAGAAATACGGTAGGAGGTCCTCAATGTGGGTAGGTGCTCCAGACTCAAGTTCCTGAGGGCTGGACTCGTGCTGAGGGACCCTTTCTTTCTTGTGTTTGGCCCTGCAGGCTCTCAGTGTTTGTTGAATGAATGACTGAGCGAATGAATGCTTAAGTCATACATAGTCCGTTCCACTGGCTCCAAGGCCCCCTCTTAATGGTCTCCTTCCCAACCCTCTGCCCTTGCAGACAGCACTGCCCGAGCCACTTAGCTCCAGGAACGGAGGACTGGGGACAGATTCTGTCAAAGCCACAACACTTTCTAAGAGGCCTCTGCTTACAGTGACCCAAAGACCTTGGGTGATGTGTGGAGAATCAAAAGCTGGAAATGAAGAGGGGCCGAGGCTAGGTCCTGGCTGTCCCAGAGACAAGGCTACAAAGCAGAGGTATCTCTCTCTGGCCTGCCAACAGAAGCAGCACCCACTGCCCAGGGCAGCTGGTCCTGCCCTGAGCTGTCCTGCAGGCCTGCGGGGAGAAGGGAGACTCCCCTCACCTTGTACCATCCTAATAAGAGGTGGCCACATAGAGAGCTGTGGAAGCATTTATCTGGGGCCTGACAGCCTCATTTGAAGCTTTAATCTGGGGCCCGACAGCCTCATTTATCACCAGAAGGCGGTGCCAGCTGGTGCAGGAAGCAGGCAGTGAGGGGAGCTGGGGGATGTGGCCCAGGGCGGCTCTGGCGTCTCCACTTCCAGGAAGCAGGGCTGGGGCCGGCTTCAGCCCAGATGTCCCCAAGCCCCACTTTTTTTTTAACTGAGACTTTTATATTATTTATTTTGTTTAGTAGCACATGATAGAATTATACACAGATGATTTCTTAAAAATCAAATGTGGTTATTTGTATATACATTAAGCCCTCAGCATAATTTCTGCCTCTGAAGTGTGCTAATACAGTATTTAAAATTATAGAAACATCCAGTAAACAGCATTTTAGTTTATGACACTCTGTTAATACAATAAATATACAAAACTTCCAAACTACTAAAAACATGCAACATTAGAGGGACAGATGGATGGCATTTATATAGAACCATGACAGTCACCGTAATGGCAGCACAATATCACTCGCTGACAAACTATACAGATATCCCTAGATAAATAATCCCAGTCCTAGATTAAAAACCACTGACACAGGGCTTCCCTGGTGGCGCAGTGGTTGAGAGTTCGCCTGCCGATGCAGGGGACACGGGTTCGTGCCCCGGTCCGGGAAGATCCCACATGCCGCGGAGCGGCTGCGCCCGTGAGCCATGGCCGCTGAGCCTGCGCGTCCGGAGCCTGTGCTCCGCAATGGG